GCAAGATCATAACGTGAAGCAACTTGGAAGAATTAGTATGTATGCGAAGTGTATCGGGGGATGCATGCAGGGCGATAGTGCGGGTTCGAATCCCAAAAACATCCCTATGCTTTTTTTGTCTAGGTCATCAAGGCAAAAAAGCATAGCGTAGGGCCCTGAGCTTCCAAGCTCTCTCGTTGCAATGTAGGAAGTGTGCTACGTGTTCCTAATAATGTTACTTGGTCCGTTTCATCGCAATTGTCGCTTAGCTCCCACTCACCTTTTGACAGGTAAAACCCAGTCCGATCTCGATATCTAACTCACATTCGTTTGGGAGGTTGTGATGGCAAGATCAAAGGAGACCAGAAAGAAAAAAACCATCGCGACTAGCGCCAGTGGCATCGAGATTCGTACAATTTTGATGGGAAAGTGGGAAACTTTTCGCTGCAGGGAATGCACTGCAGTGAATGAACACACTCATGGGTATGGTGCCACTTGAAAGTATGGAGTGCGTTTGCAGCGAAAAGTGCGCTTTGCAATACCCGCGCTGCGATGTAATCCAGCAGTTTCGTAAGTTTTCGTTACTACGCAGCCTAGAACAGAGAAATAGCTTGCTCTAACTAATGTCGGTATCCTCTGGTGTTAGTGGACCTCTGCAGGGAGCTGTGACAGCGGTATCTTCTCAGGATCTGAATCGAAAATGAGAATATCTATCGCTCAAGGCAATGCGGTATTCGCTCCCAAAGCAGCAGGGAGAGGGACGACAGCGATGACCCAGTCGGAATCACCAAGCCAGGTGAATTTACTCTTCTGGTGACTATTTCTAGTCTTCGCAATCACCGTACCTTTGCTGGATGTGAGTAGACCAGCAAAAACTACATTTCAAATCTGACACAACTGCGGAAAAATGAATTTTTGACACAATAGTTTTCGTGTAGTATTCATACAAACAATGCCATTTCCGGCCATTCCGCTATTATTCATGTATGCAACTAGTACCTATCGTACTCTCCTGTCGTTGTGTGTCCAAAAGGCCATGGCTGGAAATCCTGTACGAGATTTTAATCATACTGATCTGGCTGGAATCTGCGAGTGCTTAGAAAAGCTGATCTAAATTGCTAGAAATACGCAAATTTTCGTCATTAGAAAGGTTCCACATAACGTAATTACAAGAAAGGTTTGCTCCCCACACCGGAGCTCGCGCTATTCCGCCGACTTTACTTGACACTTGACTGACTCACGACTGCCATCCAGAGCACACGAGAAGTCCATCGAACCTTCGACTCAGCAAATCTGCAAGAAAGCACCACTCCCTGCTCAATACACAGTGTTTCGGGGAATTCACCCCTCATCAGTTGAGCTTGAGTAGGCTGAGGAAGATTGTGCCTGAAGAGCACCACTTATATAGTGCTCTCCAGGCACAAACATCACCAGGGATACAAACTTACAGAGACGCTCCGCTTCCAGCGCGATAAACACCTCGTGAACACCAGATAGTAGCGTGAGTCAGTGTCGCTCCTGGACGGTGAGACAGACGTCGAGGACCCTCGGTCATTCGCAACGCTGTCACCTCCAAACCAACTAGTCGCAAGCCCGCGCTGGGCACAACAGTACGAAGTAGTGGTTGCGACTTCGGCGATGATTTGTAAGAAAGGTTTGCTCCCCACACCGGAGCTCGCGCTATTCCGCCGACTTTACTTGACACTTGACTGATTCACGACTGCCATCCAGAGCACACGAGAAGTCCATCGAACCTTCGACTCAGCAAATCTGCAAGAAAGCACCACTCCCTGCTCAATACACAGTGTTTCGGGGAATTCACCCCTCATCAGTTGAGCTTGAGTAGGCTGAGGAAGATTGTGCCTGAAGAGCACCACTTATATAGTGCTCTCCAGGCACAAACATCACCAGGGATACAAACTTACAGAGACGCTCCGCTTCCAGCGCGATAAACACCTCGTGAACACCAGATAGTAGCGTGAGTCAGTGTCGCTCCTGGACGGTGAGACAGACGTCGAGGACCCTCGGTCATTCGCAACGCTGTCACCTCCAAACCAACTAGTCGCAAGCCCGCGCTGGGCACAACAGTACGAAGTAGTGGTTGCGACTTCGGCGATGATTTGTAAGAAAGGTTTGCTCCCCACACCGGAGCTCGCGCTATTCCGCCGACTTTACTTGACACTTGACTGATTCACGACTGCCATCCAGAGCACACGAGAAGTCCATCGAACCTTCGACTCAGCAAATCTGCAAGAAAGCACCACTCCCTGCTCAATACACAGTGTTTCGGGGAATTCACCCCTCATCAGTTGAGCTTGAGTAGGCTGAGGAAGATTGTGCCTGAAGAGCACCACTTATATAGTGCTCTCCAGGCACAAACATCACCAGGGATACAAACTTACAGAGACGCTCCGCTTCCAGCGCGATAAACACCTCGTGAACACCAGATAGTAGCGTGAGTCAGTGTCGCTCCTGGACGGTGAGACAGACGTCGAGGACCCTCGGAGTGGTGCTTTCTTGCAGATTTGCTGAGTCGAAGGTTCGATGGACTTCTCGTGTGCTCTGGATGGCAGGCGTGAGTCAGTCAAGTGTCAAGTAAAGTCGGCGGAATAGCGCGAGCTCCGGTGTGGGGAGCAAACCTTTCTTACAAATCATCGCCGAAGTCGCAACCACTACTTCGTACTGTTGTGCCCAGCGCGGGCTTGCGACTAGTTGGTTTGGAGGTGACAGCGTTGCGAATGACCGAGGGTCCTCGACGTCTGTCTCACCGTCCAGGAGCGACACTGACTCACGCTACTATCTGGTGTTCACGAGGTGTTTATCGCGCTGGAAGCGGAGCGTCTCTGTAAGTTTGTATCCCTGGTGATGTTTGTGCCTGGAGAGCACTATATAAGTGGTGCTCTTCAGGCACAATCTTCCTCAGCCTACTCAAGCTCAACTGATGAGGGGTGAATTCCCCGAAACACTGTGTATTGAGCAGGGAGTGGTGCTTTCTTGCAGATTTGCTGAGTCGAAGGTTCGATGGACTTCTCGTGTGCTCTGGATGGCAGTCGTGAGTCAGTCAAGTGTCAAGTAAAGTCGGCGGAATAGCGCGAGCTCCGGTGTGGGGAGCAAACCTTTCTTACAAATCATCGCCGAAGTCGCAACCACTACTTCATAACGTAATTACGTTAGTAAAAAAACGTAGCCGATCTACGGAAAGTCTTACGTACACTGCATGTTGATCTGTGTTCCGCCATATGGAGTTTTCAAATCACGTAGCTGCCCTTGGCAACTCGAAAAGCGGCAGTGTACGACTGAGTTGACCTGGGGAGAGAGTCATAAACTTGTACCCCAAACCACTTATGGACCAGATACGTTATCAGAGCCCTGGAGTGCAAACTCATGCATTCATTTTTTTGAATTTTGAAATTTCCAATCGGCCTTAAATAATTTCTAGCATTTTTGACATACCGCACCTCATCGTATTGGTGGGGTAGCAGGAGCCAACTTTGGATAAGAAGTACCTAAGATCCTACGTACTTTTATCCTAGTTCCACTGTATGTGGACGCCTGAATCAAGACATACTAGGAGGTTCAGAAAAACACAACTTGCACCTACAAAATAAGTCTCTCTCTTTTACGGTATATGAACATCTTTGACGAAGGGTACCCCTTGCATACATGTCCACTATAGTCTGTTTCAAAAAGATTTACAATCAAGTTTGGGTCTTAAAAAGTATGAAGATAAGGAAAATTGGACAACAAAGTACACAAAATTGCTTGTTAGGACACGGCAAATTCTTCTGTGAAGGTTTCGGAACAATTGGACCAACCGTTAAGGAGTTAGAATTTCGGCCAGGTTTCCGGCCTTTTCCCATGGTTTACAATTTGCCCAGGAAGCCAGTATCGATTTTTTATCAAAACCCACGATTTATCCTTTCCTTTTTGGCCTTGTGGTTATGAATGCTGTTTGCTGACCATGAAGTTGTGAGTTCAAATCCCAACCTATCCTCAAGTCAAACTTTTTTTTCATTGTTTTGGTGATCAAGCTGGGACAAGACAAAGAAGATGGCCGCACCAAACGACTTGTTGTTGGAGCTCGCGCTTCCTGCCGAACTGACTGCCACTTGACTGGCTCACGCCATGTGAACACACCCACAACACTACAATGGTGTGAGTGAATTATAATTATTGGAAGTCATCGCGCTGTAGCTTTTTGAGATTTATTTTAGTATTTCAAGATCGCCAATTTGTTTGAATTTAGCAGTCAACGCCGTCTTCTATCAGCGTTCACAAGCGTCTGCTTTTCTCAAAATGTCGTCGAAGTCACACGGATAGCTTTGCCAAGTCATGGCCTTGGGAATGAGTCCGTGTCGATGTCGTTTTCGTCACACGGTGAGTAAATTGCATCGCAGCTCAAAGGAACTATTTTGGTCACAAAACGAATTGGGACCCATGCCGCTCGTCAACATTTACAACACTTTCGTTTCGACATGTCCTCTCTGACTCCATTATCGATACGAGGAAGAACTCGTTTGTTGTAAAACAGACGTGCATGACTGTATCAACGTGAGTGAGTTGTCATTTTTCCTGCTTTCGCGCGGAATATTTCTTCGAGTTCACAGTGAGTTTTTCCAGGCAGCGCTCGAGTGCTCATACGGTAAGACGCCAAACTCCGCGGGCGATCGCCAGGATTGTAAATCTTTTTGAAACGGACTGTAGATGCACGTACATAATGGTATACCAAAATTTAATGGCTTTTGCATCTTTGTTGGCTGTTCCGTGTGTGTGGGTGGGGGGCTGTGACACTCGAAGGGAGGATAGCTCTAGTCTTTGGAGAGTTAAGAATTCACCAGCATTGCATGCGAACTGTTTAGTGCAATTTTCTCACAGGGAAGAAATTCGTGTAGAGCTCTCCGTGAATGGTCGTTGAGAATTCTTAGTAAGGACTAGCATGAATAGTCGACATCTGCATAATATTATCATGGTGCTAGGAAATTGCAAAACACATGAACAAGTCACGAGGCAAGGTGACGTACAGTGCAAAAGCATCAGCAGCTGCAGCAGCTGCCGCACCAGAACAAGCTTGTGTCCCATCGCCTCTTGGACCTGAAAATGCAGATCACAATGACTTCACCTGCAAGACCACAGATACACAAGAAGAGCACAATACCACAGTAGGTGACTATACAATACTGCTTTAGCCGGAAAAATGGGTACAGCACATGCATCAGAAGGCCTGGATAATATAAATCGAGAATATAGCACTCATCATCAAAAAATATCAAGGCCGTCACAGCGGCTGAGGCCGCCCCACTTTTTCGGCCTTTTTTCGTTTTGTTTTTAGCACACTGCAACTACATTGTAAGCGCGAAGATCGCAGCTCAGCCCGAACGTGGCAAATAATGAAGAATCCTTGTCCCCGATCGTGGTTTATTGCAGAATCAAAAAAGTCTTTCATTGCACTAGTTCCACTGAAATGGTACCAAATGCCTGAAAATGCTTGCAATTGCCTTCAATTTTTGAAATTTTTCCCGGCGGAGGATAATGAAGAATTCTTGTCCCCGATCGTAGCGTCTTCTTGGCTTGGTGCAGAATCAAAAAGTCTTTCATTGTAGTTACACTGAATTGGCACCAGAAATGCTTGCAACGGGCTTCAATTTTTGGAAATTTTTCCCACTGGAGGGCCCCGGACCCGCTCCCATGGCCACCCCACCTCCAAAGTCGGTGCGACGGGGCTGAATATTGAAAGCTCCCACGCCTAGTCAGAACAGTAAGACCTGGCATGTTTAGTTCCTGCACTTTGAGTTGGCAATCAAGTAAAACTCGCAGGCGCACCCCACGACTGGCCTCCTCTTACGCGCGGTCACCTATGACAAGCTTGCACCGCTTTTGCGGAGGCGAAAAGCGTAACTACCGCAGCCGCTTTTGCGGAACACACAATGCAGCGGTCACACAAACTGTGTTCCTAACACTTCGCTTTGGCGGAGAGAAAGAAAATGCATGCATACGTCCTTTGAATTTTAGATGTTTTTGTCCGACTTGAGGCAACCTTCGCTTGTGGATCGCTGACTGGCTGCTATATGTCTTCTGTCAAGCACCCTCATGGAGTTGGGGCGCATTCACTAATGTCCAGTATGGGTGTACTTGAATTTTAGTTTAGTTTACAAACTTTACATCCATTTTAAATTAAAAAGTTGCAGGGTGTCGTTGCCTTCTCCATGATCCATCATCGACCCCAGCGTGGATGCCTCTAGTTGCAGTGAGGGAGTGGCAGAGTTCTCTGCTACTCCCTTGTTGCAGTTCTAGCGTTGCGTACTCTGGCGGACGCATTGCTTGGAGAGAGAAATGTCGTCCCTTCTCGTCCGCGATCGGGGCCAAGGAGTTGGAAGACATATTCCCTCACCAACTACTCACTCATAACGATGCAGTATCGCTGGCAAGATCTCCCGAACATACAGTAAATTGGCAACGAAGAACAAGTATTAAAAAAACCCAAACGGCAACCAAACAACACCAGAAGCAGCACACCAAAGCCATCACTATGCAGGTTCCGCCAATGTGGATCCGCAAAAGAGGAGGTTCCGCTCGCTTTTTTTTTGCGCAGCGAGATCCAAACTTTCCGCCAAAGCGTAACTGTAACTTGCGCTTTGGCGGCGCAGCCAAAAAAATGCACGTGTGACCGCGGCCTAAGAGGAGGCTCTGGAAGAAGCTTTGGGAAGCGACGCCAGCTGACGATGCTGATGAGCGGTCGCCCCAGCAGGGTGTCCCAGGACTTTTCAGGTTCTCCACCCTGACTCTGCATTCCAGCGACAAACACCTCCGGACTTAGAGAAAGAAGGTCAGTGTTCACGAACAGGGTTCAACTTCTACTCATGAAGCCTTGTACTAAGTCTTGTGATATGTTTGTGCGAGGTAGGTCGCCCGTTTTACATCGCAAATTTCGTTCAACGCGGAAGATTCTTCTCGACACAGGACGAATGAAGTGGGTTCGAGAGAGCAACACAGGGTGCGGCCAGTTTCGACCGGGTACAGTTTTATCAGACCCCGTATCTCACTAAAATCACACTGTCTATTTCACCTCCCGGGATGTACTTAGGGAAGACGAAGGGATGCACCACCAATGGTTTTTCTTTTTCACATAGCTAATGACTTGGCTCTAGCACTGTGCTTCATCAATGGCGGTTATCAGATTGAAGCAGAGATGCGGAAAATGGTTACTCCGACACCCAACCTAACGCTGTGACCAACAAATACCTCAAGCTACGCCAAACGGCAGAATGAGTGAAACACGACGTTTATCCTCAGAGCGGTTGTGTAGCGAGCCACTGCATGCGGAAAAAGAGGCGAGCCGAAAGAGAACGGCGACCAAAAACACAATCTACATCTTACCTGAACGCCAGGAGATGTGAAGACGGAAAAGAATCGCACTGATCGGGGAGAAATGAGCTCACTCCCGCACGAACCTCTGCTGCGATAGCCTCGGCTTCTTTGGGCAACTGAAATATTGCAGAAACTTGCAAAGAACAGACTGGCAACAACTTTCCTTCCGGGAAGCTGTCTTCTTGATACTTGTCGTTTAGCTAGTTCGAGGAAGGACGGTCAAATGCGCGACACGTCAACTGTACGGAGTGAGGAAAGATTCAAGATGGCGTCGACTTGCGGAAGCAACCGTATTCGCAGGTCGGTGACCGGTGAGCGCGCGCGTGCGCGCATATGCGGTGAGTTTGCGGAGTTCAACGCAAAACACATCGATATTTTCACGCCTCTATAAGAGGACTTTCCATTACATCACCTTTTTGGCGCCTTCCCGGTGTCCACCCAAAGATCACCCATAAGACAAGTCCGTGTCCTACGGTAAAATGTGCTTGGGTGGCAAAAAGAGAATCAAATGTGTTGTTCGGTGTACGGTTGGAAATGATGTTGCAGGCCGTCGCAGTGGTGAAGCACTTTTGCTTTTCTTTGATGTGGTGAATAGTTTCGGTAAGTCGCGAGGATTACTAGCCGTAGTTACTCTACTGTTTATTCCAGCCTTGAAGAGGCGTTACCGCGAGAAGATTGACAGAATCCGTGGGCCCAGTACATTGATCCGTATTTACCTATGGACGAAGACCTTTCAGCCAATCCCCCTGCGTTGGGTATCCAGGCCTCTCTAAATATTTAGTGAATGTCCCCAGCACATATGCAAAGGACTCTCTAAAGTCTTACAATAGCCCTGATGGATACAAATGCATGTGTCTCATTGCTGGCTGGGTTGGCACATTATCGTGTCTTGCCCAATCGAAGGAAGAAACAACAACTGTCAACAAAATACGTTTGCAAACGTCAGGCACTCGCGGAGTGTTTTTGCCGAACCTGTCCATCCTTGGGTAGCTGCTGAATTACCTGGAATTGTTCTTGGCGCACACTGCACTTGCATGGTGGGCCTGGGAGAAGCATATTCCCATGTTGCTGCAGTGCAGTGTTGTTTTGACTGAATTTACGTTGGAGACTGAAATGTGATGTGTGCTGAATGTCAACACCTACACCACTGGGTCACTCACCAGTGACTGGCACCGTCACTGAACACTACACGAAAATAGTGTACATGGATTTTACTTCAACTGGGCAGAAATTGGAGCACCGTGCCCATAACCTACAAGTAGTCTCACTTCTCTTCCGCTGCCTGACTCTCTCTCTATGTCTCTCTTGCTTTGCATGCCTGTCAGTGTATCCATGTGTGTGTGTGTGTGTGTGTGTGCGCGTGTGTGCGCGTGCGTGTGTGCGCGTGCGTGTGTGGGTTTTTCTTCCTTATCAGTACGAGTATGACAATGTTGACATGCGGTGGCTGGTAGCACGAAAACTGACGAAGTCAAACACGGCCATCATCATCATTGCTCCTATGTAGCCAAAAAGTTGGTGTAGTGGCGAACTCAGTTGTCCTGATCTTAAAACACGCTGATGAATGCACATCCAATACAGCAATTGTTTTTTCCTGGTCGTCCCTCGACCTGGCATTCTCCATAAGCAGTTGCTGATTACCGGTAGAGTGTCCTCCATTACTGTCTTTGCAAGAGTTACACAAGAAGTAAGATCAAGATGATCCTCACCACAAGAAGATCAAGAAGCTGAATACATGTACCTAATTGACCAGAAAGACAGAATATGAGGTATACTAGTATGTGCCGCAGCAGATGAAGAACTGCACAGCGCAGCAACCAAGTGGGAAGCAGAAGAAGATTGCGCAAGTAGGTCGATCAGAGTATTTATCCATGACAAAGGAAATAATATACGTTGTGCAGAACATGAGGCATACACACTGGCATGGAAGAGATGATGAGTTGCACCCAGGGCCAGTACTAGAATAGCTAGCACCACCAGTCATGTAGAGGTACGTGCATAGAGCTGGGTACATTAGTCATTACCATCAGCATCAGCCCTATCAATCATCAAACTCCAGCTATACCTTGCACCCCAACAAACTAAGTAAGTTGATAGTGTTCGGAATCATCTTCGTGTTTCCGCCTTTACTGGTGCTGCCACAAATGAGCTGAACAAGTTGGTTAGTTAGTTCGATACGTACTGGGGTGACAGGGGATGATCATGACTTTTCTCTTCGCCAACGAAGCGATGGAACAATATTCGTGTACTTCGAAGTATTTGCATCAGGAGCGAAGTTCTCGAGTCGTGTGTCCGTCATCCACTGGTTCCGTCGCTCTCCATCGTAGGGAAAACGATAACAACTCAAAGACGATCCAGGTGTGGGAACATCCGATCGCGAGCAGCCCTTTGGTATTCTCAAACTACAGTATGCAAAATGGAACTGCTTTCGAAAAACAATGTTTCCTTCCAGTGCAGTCTTCTTTTTTTGCCACCCAATAGAGGACTTTCCAATGAGTCATACCGTGCGGCCTATGAGGATTCGGGCCAAAGATCATCGAGTTCACCACCGATCACCGGACTTGAAACGGAGCTTGGGTGGCAAAAAAAGAAGACTGCACTGGAAGGAAACAGTGTTTTTCGAAAGCAGTTCCATTTTGCATACTGTAGTTTGAGAATACCAAAGGGCTGTTCGCGATCGGATGTTCCCACACCTGGATCGTCTTTGAGTTGTTATCGTTTTCCCTACGATGGAGAACGACGGAACCAGTGGATGACGGACACACGACTCGAGAACTTCGCTCCTTATGCAAATACTTCGAAGTACACGAATATTGTTCCATCACTTCGTTCGCGAAGAGAAAAGTCATGATCATCCCCTGTCACCCCAGTACGTATCGAACTAACTAACCAACTTGTTCAGCTCATTTGTGGCAGCACCAGTAAAGGCGGAAACACGAAGATGATTCCGAACACTATCAACTTACTTAGTTTGTTGGGGTGCAAGGTATAGCTGGAGTTTGATGATTGATAGTGCAGATGCTGATGGTAATGACTAATGTACCCAGCTCTATGCACGTACCTCTACATGACTGGTGGTGCTAGCTATTCTAGTACTGGCCCTGGGTGCAACTCATCATCTCTTCCATGCCAGTGTGTATGCCTCATGTTCTGCACAACGTGTATTTCCTTTGTCATGGATAAATACTCTGATCGACCTACTTGCACAATCTTCTTCTGCTTCCCACTTGGTTGCTGCGCTGTGCAGTTCTTCATCTGCTGCGGCACATACTAGTATCCCTCATCTTCTGTCTTTCTGGTCAATTAGGTACATGTATTCAGCTTCTTGATCTTCTTGTGGTGAGGATCATCTTGATCTTACTTCTTGTGTAACTCTTGCAAAGGCAGTAATGGAGGACACTCTACCGGTAATCAGCAACTGCTTATGGAGAATGCCAGGTCGAGGGACGACCAGGAAAAAACAACTGCTGTATTGGATGTGCATTCATCAGCGTGTTTTAAGATCAGGACAACTAAGTTCGCCACTACACCAACTTTTTGGCTACATAGGAGCAATGATGATGATGGCCGTGTTTGACTTTGTCAGCTTTCGTGCTACCAGCCACCACATGTCAACATTGTCATACTCGTACTGATAAAGAAGAAAAACCCACACACGCACGCACACGCACACACACACACACACACACACACACACACACACACACACACACACACACACACACACACACACACACACACACACACATGGATACACTGACAGGCATGCAAAGCAAGAGAGAGAGTCAGGCAGCGAAAGAGAAGTGAGACTACTTGTAGGTTATGGGCACGGTGCTCCAATTTCTGCCCAGCTGAAGTAAAATCCATGTACACTATTTTCGTGTAGTGTTCATTGACGGTGCCAGCCACTGGTGACCCAGTGGTGTAGGTGTTGACATTCAGCACACATCACATTCCAGTCTCCAACGTGAATTCAGTCAAAACAACACTGCACTGCAGCAACATGGGAGCATGCTTCTCCCAGGCCCACCATGCAAGTGCAGTGTGCGCCAAGAACAATTCCAGGTAATTCAGCAGCTACCCAAGGATGGACAGGTTCGGCAAAAACACTCCACGAGTGCCTGACGTTTGCAAACGTATTTTGTTGACAGTTGTTGTTTCTTCCTTCGATTGGGCAAGACACGATAATGTGCCAACCCAGCCAGCAATGAGACACATGCATTTGTATCCATCAGGGCTATTGTAAGACTTTAGAGAGTCCTTTGCATATGTGCTGGGGACATTCACTAAATATTTAGAGAGGCCTGGATACCCAACGCAGGGGGATTGGCTGAAAGGTCTTCGTCCATAGGTAAATATGGATCAATGTACTGGGCCCACGGATTCTGTCAATCTTCTCGCGGCAACACCTCTTCAAGGCTGGAATAAACAGTAGAGTAACTACGGCTAGTAATCCTCGCGACTTACCGAAACTATTCACCACATCAAAGAAAAGCAAAAGTGCTTCACCACTGCGACGGCCTGCAACATCATTTTCAACCGTACACCGAACAACACATTTTGATTCTCTTTTTGCCACCCAAGCACATTTTACCGTAGGACACGGACTTGTCTTATGGGTGATCTTTGGGTGGACACCGGGAAGGCGCCAAAAAGGTGATGTAATGGAAAGTCCTCTATAGCCGATTTGCATGTTTGACCGACACGTACATGGCACATGACTGCACATGAAATGATGCGTACACGCTGGAAAAAGCATGCTGAAAGTGCATGCATGCTCCGCGGACTGTGTACCGGTGCATGACACAGAGCAGTGCATGGCAGTGCAGTACGAGTACAGACTAGACTGTACATGTACTAGAACTACTTCGATACATCATGTGGCATGGCTGCTTCTTCAGCGTGTTCTCCAAAAAAAGCCTGAGCTGGATCTGTGCTCACGTAGATCGTAGATCTACGTACTCGGTGTCCAACGAGTTGCGTAGAGCCAGAAATAGACATGAGTGGCTGTGTACGTGAGTTGGCAACATCATCGTGAGAGGCAACACAGCCAGAAACGGACAAGAGCATGCAGAAAGATCACTCTTGATCATTATATGCGATATTTTCCTGTACATTTGATATGGTTTGCTTCCTGAAGGCCATCACAATAAGCGATATATCGGTATAGCCGATAATAGTG